TTTTTTCAGTTCTTTACATATTCTAGATAGTAGCCCTTTGTCTGAGTTACAGCTGCTAAAAATTTTTTCCCACATTGTAGGTTGTCTGTTGAGGCTGGGTAACTTTATAAAGAAAAGAGGTCCAGCTGGGGTAGAGCTCAGTGGACAAGCTCATGCATGTTCAAAGTCTTGGTTCAAAATCCCAACCACCATAAAAAAGGGGGGAGGGCTTATTTGACCCCCAGTTTTGGTTCAAGGTCAAGGGGATGCATCAGGCAATAACCTTAGGGGTCAGGAGACAAGGAGTGTGCAGTATCTTCTGGCGTCTGTCTGTCTGTCTCCTCTGATTAAGGCACCACCATTGGATTATGGGGTCTCCACCCTGATGACCTATTTAATTCTGTCTCCCAGGTGCCTCGTTTCTAAAGACAAACTCATCTTCTGTCTTCTTAATCCCTCACCATGGGGTTAAATTTCAACACCTTCACCCTTGTGGGATCCACTCGGGGCTCCCTCAAGTACACCATCAGTTACTGGGCAGGACGGGACCCCTGCACATGCTGGGGGCGGGGGTCCGACCACTGTGGCCTAGAGCAGCTCTTCTGACTTTCACATTCTGGAAGTGGGGCTTTATTGTGATTTAACTTTCTTTCCTAATGGCCCAGGATTTTATTCACCTTTCCATAGGTATATTGCCCATTTGGTGTTACCCTTGCGGGCTGCCTGCTAAAGCATTTTCCTGACTTGTTTTTATTGCTTATCTTTTTTATGGGTTTGTAGGAGTTCTTAGATATTTTGAATACAAGTTACATGTGTCTTTTTTTTAATGTCTTCTTATAGTATGTGATGCACTGCTATTTTCTTAATGCTTTCTTTTGTTTGTTTTGAGACAAGGTCTTGCTGTGTAGTCCAGACTGGCCTTGAATTCACTAGGTAGCCTGGGCTGTCTCAATCTCAGGTCAATCCTCCTGCTTCAGCCTCTCAAGAGCTAGGATCACATGCATGAGCCACCACACCTGGCTCTTAATGGTTTCTTTGATGAACACTGGTTTTTCAATTTTCATAAAGTCTCCTTAAAAAAAAAGAGGAAGGATATATCATGTACAGGTGCAAATTCCCTATGATGTGTTATCATCATGTATATCTAAAATGTACCAATAAATGTTTTGCTTAAAAAAAGATAAAGTCCCATTTACAGCTTCACAGTTCATGTTTTCTTTTCTTTTCTTTTCTTTTTTTTTTGGTACTGGGGAATCCAACATGGGACCTTGCACTTGCAAGGCAGGTGGAAGAACCACTGAGCTAAATCCCCAGCCCCAACAGTTCGTGCTTTCTGTGTTCTGTTTAAGAAAAATTGTTTCTCTGGGTTATAAAAACAACTTCTTTATTCTTTTCACCTTTCATTTACATCTGGGGTTTAGCTCTAGTTTTCATGAACGTGAGATAAGCACCAAATGTCTCTCCCACTGACTTTCATGTCAATGTCTGGTTAACCCTGCACCTTTTGATGAGACCAGCATTTCCCTGCTGACATTTCCAGGGAAGCCACTTCTTTACCCCTGTACTGAGGTTTGAACTCAGGGCCTCCACAGTGAGCTACACCCCCAGTTCTTTTTATTTTTTCCAATCATTTAATTTTTTAATTTTAAAAATTTTTATTACTACATGTTTGCAGTACATAATGCTTACATTCCTCCTGGTGAGTTGGTACACATACATAACACATCTTAGTTCTGTTTTTATCCACTTCCCTTTCTATTTTTTATTTTGTCACAGGGTCTCATGAAGTTGCTAAGTTATCCAGGCTGGGCTTGAACTTGCAATCCTCCTACCTCAGTTTCCCAGAGTGCTGGAATTGCAGATATGTGCCGTAGTGCCCAGCTGAAGCCTTCTTTGGAACTCATATATTGTTGGTGGGGGAAAAACATTAGTCCAACCCCTGTGGAAGACTGACAGGATCTACCAAAGCTAAACTGGGAAACAGTCATACCCCCTGTTGCGCAGCAATTCCACTCCCAACAGATGAGTAAGTACTTCTTTCCAACAAAAGAATGATGTGTAAACCACGTGTGGTGGGCATGGCTGTGGTCTCAGTACTCAAAATGCTGAGGTAGGAGGATCACCTCGAGTTTGAGGCCAGCCTGGGCTACATAGCGAGTTCAAGGCCGGCCTGAACTGTATAGTGAGACCTTGTCACAAAAAACAGACCCAACCTGTGCTTGCTTCGGCAGCACATATACTAAAAAAACAGACCCAACCCAACCCAAACCATACAAACAACCACACCAAAAAATGACTCGGAGCAGTCTTATTAATAACAGCCCCAACTAGGGCTGGGGAGACCTCTCAGTGGTAAAGCGCTGGCCTAGCATGTGCAAGGCCTTAGGTTTGATCCCCCATACTGAAAAAATAATAATAGCTCCTCTAAAAACAACAAAAGAATAACCCAAATTAGAAATAGTGGATAAACAAATTATGGAATATAGAAATAAAAAATAAATAAATTATGGACTATCAGGTGTGATCACAAATATAGTGACTGTATAAAATTTTTTTAATTTATTGGGGTAAAAGACATACTGCCATGAGTCCCTCTCGAAATTCTCCCCTTGGTTTGAATGCACTTCTTTCATTGTTCTTGCCACTTTCTGCAGCTGCTTGGAAGTCTTCTTTCGTGAGGGTCTTTAGTTGCACTGTCACGGCTGCCTCAGTGTCCTGAATTGATTCACAACATTTACCTTTTGTGGTCAATTTGACTTTGGGGAAGTGCCTGAAGTTGCTTGATGTCAGATCTAATGAGTTAGGGAGATCTTAGCACAGTGTTGTTGTTTTTTTGTTTTTTGCTTGTTTGTTTTTGGTACAGGGGATCGAACTCAGGACCTTATGCTTTCCAGGCAGGTGCTTGCTGGAACCACTGAGCTAAATCCCTGGCTCCAGTGTTGTTTTTTTTTGAGACAAAGTCTCACTATGTAGTTCAGGCTGCCATTGAACTCACTACGTAGCCCAAGTTGGCCTCAAACTCAGTGGTGATCATCCTGCCTCAGTCTCTTGAGTGCTGGGATGACAGACATGTGCCATCATGCCTGGGTTATGACATAATGTTTCCACTGGACTCAGTTGCAGCATTTACCATAGTTTTGATCACACCTCAGAAAGACACAAGAAACAGGCTCTCTTACTGCATATAGATACAGCGTATTGGGAGGGAAATTTAATAATAACCATTGAAAGTTATAAATAGGGGCCGGGGATTTAGCTCAGTGGTTATGCCGCCTGTCTCACAAGCCCAAAGACCCGAGTTTGATCCCCAGTACCAAAAAAAAGTTAAAAGTATTCGCATCTATTTATACACAATTCTATAGAATGGTAATTAATAAACTGTGGATCAGTGGTTGCCAGGCAAGAAAGGAAGGGATTACAAAGGAACATGAGGAAGCTGGGGAGCAGTGTACAGGTGTCCTGAACTTCAACACGCGCTGGTCACAAGTGCACCTGCAGGTCAGGATCACTCAGGTGTTTGCTTTAGAGCACGCCTGTGGCCCAGCTATTTGGAGGCTGAAGCAGGAGGATGGCAAGTTCAAGGCCAATTTGAACAAAAGAGCAAGTCCTTGTCTCAGAATGAAACTTAAAGAGGAGACAGGCATGGTGGTGCAGGCCTGTGATCCTAGCATGCTGGGAGGCTAACAGGAGGATCACAAGCTCCAGGCCAGCCTGGGCAACTCAGTGACTTAGGGAGACCCTGTCTCCAAATAAAAAAGGGCTTCAGACGTAGCTCAGTGTGAAGGCCCTGGGTTCAGTCCTCAGCTTTGGGGGGAGAAAGAATAAAATCTAATCTACATCCATCTGCAGTGAGGTGGCATAATATCCAAAAATACCACTTAGAGAAAAAACAAACAGTAAACAGGATGCCAATTTTTCTTCCGGTAGTGGGGGTCGAACCCACGGCCTTCACATTGAGCTCCATCCCCAGCCCCTCCCCCACCTTTGGAGACAGGGTTTTGCTAAATTGGCCAGGCTGCTCCAGGGAACTTTGATCCTACTGCCTCAGCCTCCTAGAGAATTCGGGTTACAGGCCTGAGCCACCACGCCCAGCGCGAGCTTTTAAGAATATTCTTCTTTATTATCTCACACTACGCATGTAGGGTCTGGGCCAGGGAGGGGGCAGGCCTGAGACTGGGGAGGGAAGGCCACCGGGTTCCTCGGGCCGGACGACCGAGCGCCCTCAGTGGTGGGGAAAACAAATGAAACAAAACGAAAGCTCGGAGCACTGGCCACGCCCGTCACAGCTGCCCCGCCCCGAGCCGGCTCTGTCCCGCTGGGCGGGTGGCCCCACTGCGCAGTCCCCTCCCCGGGGCGGAGTCCGCGGGGGTTCCGCCCTCGCGGTTCCGGTCCGGAATCCCCGCGCCCGGTGGCCGATGGAGCCCTCGGCTTGGCTGGGCGCCGGCCTGGCCCGCGTGGTCTTCTACCCGACGCTGCTGTACACCGTGCTCCGCGGGAAGCTGCGCGGCCCGGGCCACCGCGAGTGGTACCACCGCATCGACCGCACCGTGCTGCTGGGCGCGCTGCCGCTGCGGGGCTTGACGCGCAAGGTGGGCGGGGCGGGACGCGGTGGGCGACGGGGAACAAGGACGGGGGAGGGGACACGCTGGGGGGACGGGGACAGGGTAAACGGGAGTTTGGGGTACAGGGGAATGGGGCCGGGGACCGGGTGAAACCGGGGGACCGGCTAGGGTCAGGGAAGGAGCCCCCGGGGTCCCTCTGTGCCCTGCAGCTGGTCCAGGACGAGAACGTGCGCGGGGTGATCACCATGAACGAGAAGTACGAGACCAGGTTTCTGTGTAACAGCTCCAAGGTGAGGGGCCTGACGGGCCGGAGAGAGGAGCTTGGGCTCCGGGATGCGGCGACCGCGGGTGGGGACAGAAGGGGACGGAAGGGAACCGGGGACCGGGAAGGGCCTTTCACAGTAACGTTGACCCCACACCCCCTCCATGCCCTGGCTTGAAGCTGTGGCCTCAGCACTCAGGAGACTGAGGCCGGAGGATCACTTGAGCCTAGGAGTTTGAGACGAGTCTGGGCAACATAGCCAGACCCTGTCTCAAAAACAAACAAACAAAAGCAGAGTAAGTTCACAAAGTGAGGAAGTCTGTTTACTCCTTTATCCAGTTATATTCTTAATTTCGGTCACTGAAATCGCAGAGCCACTTTCTGGGCACTAAGCGTGTGCGGGTCAGGCTGCATTAGGGGTGTGAGCTGAAGGCCCTGCCCACTGGGGAGAACAGCCCCACACTCTACTCTGCCAGATGACTGGGAAGTGCAGGCCCGCACAGTTTATCTGGCTTTGATTTGAGGGATTTCTTACCGCATTCCTATGAAAGAGGTGGTGGAAATCCACAGTGCTGTCCAACTAAGGCCTAAAACCTCATTGTTGTTCCCTGTCAACGCTTTCTTATGGGGCCTCTGCAATGGGTATTAGGAGGTTGCCCTATGTTTACAGTGTTTTAACACCTATTTTTAGTAAATTATTTTGGCTGGGGCGGTGGTGCACCCCTGTAACCCCAGCACTCTGGCAGAGGGGAGGCAGGAAGATCTGAGTTCAACCCCAGCCTGGGAAATTTAAAGAGATGGTGTCTCAAAAGAAAAATATTTTTAATTTTTTTTTTAATTAAAAGGGCTAGAGGGGCTGGGGATTTAACTCAGTGGTTTTGCCACCTGCTGCGCAAGCAGAAGGACCCGAGTTTGATCCCCGGTACCAAAAAAAAAAGATGTAGGGATGTTGTAGCTCAGTGTGAAGGCCCTGGGTTCAATCCACAATATCACCAAACAAAAAACCAAAACTTTCTCATCACATAGCTTAATGAAGATGCTATTATTTCGTTTTACTTTTTTTTTTGGTACCGGGGATCAAACTCGGGTCCTTGCGCTTGCGCAGCAGGTGGCGAAACCACTGAGCTAAATCCCCGGCTAAGATGCTATTATTTCAGTCCATAGATTTTTAGAGACCTTTCAAATGTTTGTGCCTCACATTGAAAATGTATTATTTAGTGGCTGAAGGTGCAGCTGAGTGGTAGAATGCAGATTTAGCCTATGTGAGACTCAGGGTTTGTTCTCCACCCTGTCTGTGTCTGTCTCTCGCTCTCGCTCTCTGAGCACTGGGGAGTGGAGCTTGATGTCACGGATGCAGTGCCTACAGCTGGGGAAGGGACTAGAGGATGAGGCTGGAAAGGAACTGTGTAAGGTGTTCTAACAGCCAAGTTTATCACCTCTACCCCCACCTCCACCCCCCATCTGGCTTGAACCTGTGGTCCCAGCACCCGGGAGGCTGAGACAGGAGGATCAGTTGCTTTGCAGCCCCCCAGCCCCATGGCACACATGTAGAAGGATGTGCAGCAGTTCCTTGGAGTCTCCCTGAAACCGAGGGGGCCTTAGCCACAGGGTAAATGTTCGTGAATGTGCTCTCTCCCAGGGCATCTCATGGGCACCCACAGAAAATGCTCGGTTCCTAGGTGGGAGGCGCTGGCCTCTGTGAGATGGTGCTGTCTTAGCCCACTAGCAAGGAAGTCTCTGAGGCAACAGCTCTCATGTCTCTGTGTGCCAGAGAATGGTCTGGAGGCTTTGCTAAAATAGCACATTCCTGCCTACAAGCCCTGGAGACTGATGAAGGAACGCAGAGGTGGTGGCCTCGTCCTGAGTAGTCAACCACTCTGCAGGGGTTTCTGGTGCCTGCCACAGGCTGCAAAACGCTGTGCTCAGTTTGTGTTAATTTTATGAGCAGTATTAAGTACTGACCTTCATTTGGTCTTGAAATCCCCAATACCTCCCAAACAGGTTAAGAGTAGCTGCAGCATACCTAAGCCTCACAGCAAAAAATAGCTGAGTGTGATGGCACACCCCAGTAATCCCAGTACTCTGGGAAGCTGAGGCAGGAGGATTGCAAGTCTGAGGCCAGCCTGGCCAATGTAGAGACTTAGCAGGATCCATCTCTAAATTTACAACGGGCTGGGGCTGGGGCTTGCTGTGAAGGCCCTGGGTTCCATCCCTAGCACCACACCCGCATATGCACACACAAAATAAAGTGGCCCGATTTGGCAGAGAGTATATTTCAATTTCTTCCTTTTTAAGTGATAATTTTGCAGTAACAAAGGAAGATATGTTTTACTTTTAAAAGGATAACCCCCTCTTTTCTTTCAGTAATGGAGATTGAACCCAGAGTCTTCACACTGAGGTACATTCCCAGGCCTTTTAATTTTATTTATTTACTTATTTTTTGTTTTTTTGAGACAGGGTCTCCCATTGTAATTCAGGCTGGCCTGGAAATTGCTGCAATCCTCCAGCCTCAGCCTCCCAGATGCTGGGATTACAGGTGTGTGCCACCATGCCCAGCTTTTACTATTTACTTACATGTATTTGTTTACTTTTTTAGCTGCTTATTTGAGACAGGGTCTTGCTATGCAGCTAGGCTGACCTCTAGCTGGTGGTGATCCTCCTGCCTCAGCCTCCTGAGTGCTGGGTCCCAGCATGCCCGGCTTTAAGGAAACAGAAGAGCATATGCATTTACACTGTAGGAAAGCCTGAGGCTTCCTTGTGTCCCCTTCACGCTGCCCATCGTGGGTTCCTTTCCTCGCTTTTCCTGGCGGTGACCCTGGTGCCAGGAGTGGAAGAAAGTGGGCGTCGAGCAGCTGCGGCTCAGCACGGTGGACATGACAGGGGTCCCCACCTTGGCCAACCTGCACAGAGGAGTCCAGTTCGCGCTGAAGTACGAGGCCCTGGGCCAGTGTGTCTATGTACACTGCAAGGCCGGCCGCTCCCGGAGCGCCACCATGGTGGCCGCATATCTGATCCAGGTAGGGAGCGCGTGCGGCTGGGAGTCTGTGGCACTGCGGCTGCTGGGCCTCCCTGCAGGCAGCCACGGCTGGATCTCACGCTGCCGGGGTGGGCGGTACCAGGCCCGGCACCTGAGCTCCTTGGGTCGGCTCACCTCAGCGCTGCCGCCAGCCCGCCAGGACACGTGTGAGTCTTTTCTCTCTGACGTCACTTCCTCAGACTTCATGGGTTTGGAGACTTAAAATGAGAAAGTATCAAGGGGTAAACCGGGTGTGGTGGTGTGCACCTGCCATCCCTGTATGCTGAGGCAGGAGCAGCTCAAGTCTGAGCCCAGCCTGGGCAACTTAGCAAGACCCTGTCTCGAAACAGTATAAAACGGGGAGACAGGGCCCTATGTTCAATCCCCAGTACCACAAAATTAAATGAATGAACGAACCATTTCTGTTCTGGCCATGCTGATGAGCTACAGAGAAATATCTACACTCATTTTTAGACTCTTCTTTGCTTGGGGGGTGGGGTTGAACCCAGGGCCTTGAGCATGCTTGGTAAGCACTCTACATAGTGCTACCCCATCCTCTTATTTTAAGACAGGGTTTTGCTGAGCTGCCCCAGCTGGGCTCTGACTCCTGGGCTCAAGCAGTCCTCAGCCTTCCAAGTACCACACCTGGCAGTGGAGTGTGACTTGTTCATACCCCCTAAAGTGGAGTTTTTTACAAAGTTCTGGGGTCCTCTGGCAGCCGTGCCTTCCTTTTTCCGCTGACCCCCATCCTGTACGGATTCAGGTGCACAACTGGAGCCCGGAGGAGGCCATCAGAGCCATTGCCAGCATCCGGGACCACATCCACATCACGCCAGGCCAGTTGACGGTCCTCAGGGAGTTCCACAAGGCCACCCGTCTCCCCACAGGCGGCAAGGGTGACACCTGACATGTCAGAGACTCGAGGACAGCTCCGCTCCAGATGGAACAAACATTTACAGACTCCACAGGGCAGAAATGTGCTAGGTGGTGGGTCACTTTGCTTCCTTTGCCTGGTTTCATTATCTTCAAATAACACTGCTGCATGGCTGGAGAAGAAGACTGGTGTGCTTAAATTTTATTAAGGTTAAAAAACCCCACTAATTTCAACAAAAACTTATTGTGTACCTAATACTGTGCCTAATGATACTTAGCACCATAACTCTGTGATTTTTGAGTGGGGAAGTTGAGACAGGGTCTTGCTATGTACTTTAGGTGGCCTTGAACTGGTGGCAATCCTCCTGCCTCAGCCTAACTGCTAGGGTTACAAGTGTGTACCACCATGCCCAGCTAACTCAGACATTTAACACTAGAGACAGGAAATCCAAGCTCTGGCTCTTGGACCTGTCAGAATCCCAGGGCTTTTGGAATGGTGATTTGTATTTACACAAGGACATGGGGTGCTGCTGGACTGGGAGCTCGGGTTTGACATCAGTTCCCCTTCGGGATTCAACACAATCCCACATGTTCTGGCCCTTCAGAAACCTTTATTTGTATGAACTTGTAATTATAGCTCTTAATTTAGCTTAGACCTTTGAGAAAAACAAACACCTTATACATTATATTGAGTTTGAAAAAACAGCTTCTGCTATCAATTAGAAATAATTCCTTGTTTTTCTGGCTCACCCTTGGAGTGGTCTAAAAAGAAAACCGAAGTCACTTTGCTGACAGATGGATGAAAAAACACTAGGAGGACCTGAGTCCTAAAGCTGACCCTTGCTGGTGAAGTGCACCTTCAGCTTAGTTCACCCTCCTGCCCAAAGCTGCAAGGAAAACCCTGATCCCCATTCTCCATGGGCAATGCTCAATGAGCCATGCTGCAGGCTGCAGGGGAAAAGGAGGGGTGGGGCCTTCTGCCCTGGGACCAGCTGCATCCACTTAACACTGATCAGGAGAGGGAGGCGAGACCCAGGGTGGAGGGAAGGCGAGGACAAGCTGGTGCTGCTGGATGCACGCAGCCAGCAGAGCTGCAGTCTAAGAAAGCCCCCAACAGATCACCCCAGGGGTTCAGGGGAGGACTGAGTGTCCAGAAGAGCATGTTCTAGGAACTGGGGCTCAGGGACTTGGAGTGTGGCTGGGGCGCTGGAGGAAAAGGGAGGGCAAACGAGCCAGCTGCTCTCCATGTGCCCGCCTTAGGCCAACACGAACTGCAGATTGGTGAGCAGCACCTTGATGCCCCTGGTGACAGTCACAGCTGATGTGGCAGGGTCCAGCTTGTAGGTGTTGGCGTCTCCTTTCTTGTACCGGTCGCGGAAGACGTAGATGCTGCCATTGCAGCTGGCGATCTTCCAGAGGGATGGGGCGGCGCTCCAGGCCTCAGGCAGGCAGAGCCGCGTGAAGCTGTCCAGCAGGGGGTTGTAGCACACCAGAGAGTGCCCTTCGGCCACGATGAACACCAGATCCTTGTGCACAGCCGCGTGCATGCGGCCCGCGAACGGCAGCACGTAGGGCTTCACGTGGCACTTGTCTGTCTCGGTGTCGAAGCACTGGATGAGTCGGGAAGGCTTGGTGAAGAAGTCCAGGTCATTCTCCTCGCCCCCCAGTAAGTAGATGATCCCATTGAGGTTGGCGCCGGTGGCCCCCGACACCGCCACCTCCAGCTGGGTCGTCTCCGTCCACACATTATCGCCCACGCGGTAGTAGATGACGGCATTGGACAGGGTGTCCTGCAGCGTCTTGCCCCCCAGCGAGTAGATGGCATCCTTGCCTGGCACAGACACCAGTGTGTGCTGCAGCCGGTCCCGAGGCAGCGGTGCACACCACTCCCAGTCCACCGTGGCATTGTTGCACTTCCACATGCGCCGAGGGATGGAGCCGCCCACCACGTACAGGTCCCCGCCGTGCTTGCAGGCCGCTGTGATCTGGTGGGACAAGCTGTTCTGGCCACTGACACTGATGAAGTCGTCTTCCGAACAGTGCAGCGACACAGCAAGGGAGTGCGTGCGCGAGGACTCTTTCCCGATGAGGTAAATGTGCACATTCTCCCCAATTTCCTGCCGGTGGTATCAAAGTGTGAGTGACAGGAAGCTCTCAGCGAAAGGCCCAGCCTCTCTTGGTGCCCTGCTCTAACCCACTCATGTCTCCTGCCTGTCTGCCGTCCTGCCTGTCCTTAACTACGCATCTTCCTTTAGACATTTGCTGCTGGTGCAGAGAATTGGGCAGAGAAGATCAATCACAAGCTGGTGGTTCAGGCAAAGGATCTTTTCCTTTTTCTGAGGTCAAACCCAAGGTCTCTCGCGTGCTAAGCAAGCACCACTGAGCTATATCCCCAGCCCAAGGATTGTTAACTCACTGATGAAAGGAGTTCTCTTAAGGAGGTTTGAAGCTGGGCATGGTGGCGCACACATGAAATCCCAGCACTTGGGAAGCTGAGGCAGGAGAATCGGGACTTTGAGGCCAGCATGGGCTATGAAGTGGGTCAAGGGCAGCCCACAATAGTGAGACACTGTCTCAAACAACAACAAAACAATGATGAACCAAAAAGGAGTGTGGATGCTCACAGATTGGAGGCTTCTGAGCTCATAGACATAGTCTCCTCCCAGCTCCTGTCAGCTTTGGCCAGAGACCATTGACCCAGCAGACCTCAGGTGCGAGCCCAGCTGATGGATGGATGCAGATTACGGTGCCCCAGCGATTCAGGAATCCACCTTACCTTTAAGCTGGTCCTGAGTGACTCTGAAAATGCCTCTCTTTCCTCTTTATTAAAATTGATCCAAGCTTCTATCACTTCTGTTGGGTTCTGGGAACACGGAACTCCATCTGTGAGAGCCAGAGTAAGGCACAGTCAGTGACAATCTGAAGAGGAAATTCAAAGAATCACCTTATTAGACCACCACTGTGAGTTAGACTAGATACACACACACACGCACATATGCCAAGTAGAGGTCAGACAAGAACACGCACAGAAAAAGTTACTTCGTTCTCTGTACTGGGGATTGAACTCAGGGCCTTCAAATTGAACTATATAACCCAGTCCATTTTTTATTTTTAGACACGGTCTCACCAAGTTGTTCAACCTTTGGATCCTCCTGCCTCATCCTCCCAGTGTGCTGAGACTACAGGTGTGCGCCATCATGCCTGGCTTCCTCACTGCCTTTTGTGAGAAAGTGCTGCTGCTTTTATTTTCCTGGCTGCGGCTTCCGTAAGGCACTCCATCCCTGACGGCTGCTACAACAGTGAAGCTTGGCCTCAACCTAAACTCCAACTAGGAAGCTTGCAGCTCCCTTCTCCAGAATGAGGAAACCCACTGAACATCAGGGCCCCCCCCCCCCGCAGCCTACCGGAGATGATATCCATGAGGAGGTGGTGTGGCAGGTGGAGAAACTCCTCCGTGCTCTGGAGCTGGGCCAGGTGGGTCTTGGCACAGTGCTTGGCAGCAGTGTAGAGCTCGGGATCACTGTGCCGATCTGCCAGCCACATCACCTGCAGGCAATTTCCCACCTGTACCGTGCGGGCCAAAAACCGAGAACATTCCTCAAAGAGAGACGTCAGCTGGTACATGTCTGCTACCTCATAAATTTCCTGGAGCTCCTCCGCCCGCAGTTTCACGGTGCCGTGGTAGATATAGTCCACCAGGAGCTGGAAAACAGACTCGCTGACATCCTGCAACACAATCACCCGATTGTGAGCCTCCTTCAGGTTGGACGTGAACATGGATCGGAAGAAGCAGCTCTGAGCCGAGAGGACCAGCCGGTGAAGCTGGAACTCTCGGCCTTCCACGGAAATGGTGACGTCAGCAAAGAGCTCCTCCTCCAGACACAGCTTCATGATGCCCTGGGCCACTCGGCCTGAGTGGGACCGATCTTTGAAAGTGTAGTTTACAAAGTAGTTCTCATCCATGGACGCCCCAGGCTCCTCTGGTGACTCCATGGTGGCCAACTTCTGTCAGCTTCTGGCAAAGCAACACCACCTCGGAGGAGCTTGGGGAATTCACAACCGCAGTCTGGGATTCCAACTGTCTGACCTGAGAAGGGAAGGGAGACGGAAAAACTGAGACCAAAATGGGCCAGACTGGCCTTAGTCCTGGCCCTGCCAGCGGCATTCCTGCCATGCACCTTCAGCCACAGCTGGGCTCATTTTCCTGCAGTTGCAGCCCTCCCCTAAGGAAATCAATAAAAGTCCCAACTCTGTTGGTTTCCCTGAGAGTACATCAAATATGGTTTCCCAGGATATAACAAAAAGGCTTGGGATTTAGGCCAACACATGAAAGAAAAGGGCTAGAAAACGCCTATGATATTAGCTTCACTAACCAAGTAACTTAGGCATAAAACTAGCGAGGCCCACGGAAGCGGAACCAGAACCCCCAGCCCCCCGCGTCCCGGTGGCTTCTCCCCCTCCCTGCACGCGGAGTCCAGATCCTACATTGTGAGGCGAGGCCTGGAACTCCTTAATCCTCTTGCTCATTTCTGAACTTCTGTCCCAACCCTTACCCCGCTCGCCCTAAAGACTGTCCCCAGCTCGGGACACACAGAAGCCCATAACGCTGTGCGGGGTCCTGACTCCACTTGGAGTCACCTGAGAAATGGTCGTCATGGAAACCGCTCCGCGCCCCCGCCCCCTTTCACCGTCCGCTGTCTTCTAAAGCTTAGCTCAGGGAGCGGGGGAGGGGTGTGAAACGTAGAACCCAGAACACCCGCCCCTTCTCCTCTCACCTGTCCGTTTCTTCAGCGTCTTCTGCTTCGCCCCAGCTTCTTCCACACCGAACTAGGGCTTCGTTCACCTCACAGTTTCTCAACCTGATGGTCTTGCCCTCTCACCTGAAAGCCCTCCATTCATCCCGATACCCGGAACCCGGAACTTCTGCTTCCAACCCCGCTCACCGCCCGGAAGAAGATCCGTTACACTTCCGCTTCCGGTCCGTGCCCTTGGTGCTCCGCGTCCTGTGGTCCCTCATTCCGCTGCCCGGGCTTCATCTGGGGAATATGGCGGCCGTTGCGGCCAGGGTCTGGTGGCGAGGGCTCGCGGGCTCCAGAGTGGTGGCCGGGGGTAAGCGGGGGTCAGCTGGCTGAGGCCAGGGACAGAGGCAGTGGCGGGCCCAACGCGGAGGACTCCTCAGGCCTCAGCAGTGAGTCTGTGCCTCTTCTCTCGTGTGCAGGGGCTGGGCGACCCTCGGCGCTGCTGCAGTGGGTGCGGAGGGAGAGCGCTGCGGCCAACTCGCGCCGTGAGTATGTGCAGGCTGCGCTTCTCTCCTCTTGCCGCCCGGGGCTCTTCTTTCCCTTTGCCAGATGCTTGTCCTTGCTCTAAGGTCCCCTGCCCTGCGACCTGCAAATCTGTCCTTGGGGATTTGAGTGGTCTCCACCTTGCAATCAGAATCGAGCCTTCCCCGTGCCCCACACCGCTGTCTTACGGCCTTGGTTGCCCCGTCCGTTTTCACGACCCTCTCTTTCTGATTAAATTGGCAACCTTTTGAGGAACAGGAAACAAAACTCGCGCTTCAGAGAGTAGTAGTTCACCGTAATTATATGCTCACTGTATGTCAGGCACCTCACAAAGGCTTTTAGTGAAGAATGTTAGTTCTAAGGATAACTTTATGAAGTAGGTAGTATTTTACTATCCACACATAGGTCGAGAAACAACCCGACTTGGTGGTGCGCGCCATTAATCCCAGCACTTAGGAGGCTGAAGCAGGAGGACTGCAGCGATTTCAAGGCTGGCCTGGGCTACACAGTGACTTCAAAACCTGCCAGAGGGCCGGGGATTTAGCTCAGTGGTTCCGCTGCCTGCCTTGAAAGCACAAGGTCCCGAGTTCGATCCCCGGTACCAAAAAAAGCAAAAACAAAAACAAAACCCTGCCCGAACTACATAGTCCGATCCTGTCTCAAAAAAAAACAACAACAGACCAGGGGTCGGGGATTAGCTCAGTGGTTTCCCCGCTACGCAAGCGCAAGGACCTGAGTTCCATCCCAGGTACCAAAAAAAAAAAGAAAAAAAAAGAAAAAGAAAACAGACCAGGTAACTAAATTGCCCAGGATCACAGACCTAGTGAAACAGTAGGTCTGCCCATGGCCAGAGGCACAGAACTCTTCACCATTACTCCCCACCCTGTGATATGCGTGACCAGTGATTTAGGGCTGCATGAGTGAGTATATGGCAATACTAAGTGATAGTCCACATAAGCCAGCTTTGGTTTTCTACACACATCTTTCAGTAAGATGATCTGTGAGGGCTCTTAAGCTCTTACTTTGAGAATGTGGTTTAGGCTAAATGCCAAGGAGGTTAAAAAAAAAAAGCCTAATTCTGGTTCCTCTGTTTAAGAGGTGTAGTGTGGCAGGAGAGATGACTCTGTGCTGTGTTAGCAGTGTGAAGGAACAGCCGTGGACAGGTTCAAGAGGCAGATACCTCAGCTGCAATAATGAGTCTGTCCAGAGTAGGGGAGGTGATGTTCCCTCAGGTCTTCCTCACTTCCTGGTCTCTGGGAGAGAAATTTTCCACCTGCACCTTCCTTAAAGTTCTATGGGGAACCCTGCTGAGAGCTGACACCCTTTTCAAGCCCATGAGACACATACAGGTCTGGTTGCTGGCTTCTGTGCTTCTCTCATACGATTTCTTTTCTAGCCACTGTTAGGCCACAGGATGCGGTGACCCACAAGCAGCTCTCAGCTTTTGGGGAGTATGTGGCTGAAATCCTGCCCAAGTATGTCCAGCAAGTTCAGGTAATAACTCACTACTGTAGTTGGGGTCTGACTCATGAAATAGCCATGTGCTCAGACCATGTGAGAGTGGACAGCCTGGTTCCAAAGAAACCACAGATCCCTGCATCCCAAGCTTGGGCTTCTTTTCTCTCCCAAACCGAGTTATCCCAGCTGGACTTGGCTCCTTCCTGCACAGCTGTGCCTGTCTCACCCCTCCTCTGGCTGCAGGTGACCTGCTTCAATGAGCTGGAAGTCTGTATCCATCCCGATGGGGTCATTCCGGTGCTCACCTTCCTCAAGGATCACTCCAATGCACAGTTCAAATCCTTGGTTGACTTGACGGCAGTAGACATCCCAACTCGGCAGAACCGTTTTGAGGTCAGTCGAGGTGTGATGAAGTACTACCAGCTGCCTGAGGGAACCATAACCTCCTCACACACGGTTTCAAGTTGAGGCAAACAGAACATAGCAGTTAAACTAGGGCTTCAGAATCAGGTAGATGTAAGTGTGAATCCTGGCTCTGCCCCTAACTGGCTGTGTGGCCTGTGTGGCCCTTTGGGTTGGTTTGAGATGGGGTCTGGCTTATTGCCCGGGCTGGTCTTGAACTTCTGAGTGCAAGGGAGCTCCTGGTCCACCCTTTTGAGTAGCTGGGACTACAGGTATGTGCTACTAGGCCCAGTGCTGTTTGATTTTTCTGAGCTTTAGTTTTCCAATTTGCCAAATAAGGTGGTGGCAAGGAAGGGCTGGAGGCATTGGTGAAGCAGAGGAGGGGCAAGGCTTCCAAGTTCCTAGCAATTTTAGATGTCAGAAACATAGCCTGTGTGGGAGGTTTGATATTCTGTTGTCCAGCAGGTTTCTTATGCTGGTCCTGGGGATTTTTGTTAACTGGCAGAATTAGAAAGTTATTTGAGGGACAGGGATTTAGCTCAGTTGTGCTGCACCTGCCTGGCAAGTGTAAGGTCTGGAGTTCGATTCCTGGTACAAAAAAAAAAAGTCATTTGATATTGTAGGGGGATTCTTATCTTTTTAGCCTGGTGGGTTTGGGATGCTGGTTTCTTTATAGGTAGAATTACTCAAAGGAAAGACTTGGGAAAGAATGGTCAAAGCAGCAATTAAAAATAAGGTAGTGGCCGGGGTTTTAGCTCAGTGGTTCTAGCGCCTGCCTTGCAAGCGAAAGGACCCGAGTTGGATCCCCGGAACCAAAAAAAAAAAAAAATATGGTCTGAGGGGAATAGCTTAGTGCAGTGGTGGCAAACTATGGCATGTGTGCTGCACCGGGCTATTGGTATCCCTGAAAAGTCCTAAGAGGTCCACCATTGCTGGCATAGTGGTAGAGCATGAGCTTAGCATGCTCAAGGCCTTGGGTTCACATGCACGCACACACAAAAAGATACTAAATGAGAACATTCACCTTCATCCTGAAAAACAAAAGGAAAAAGCCCAGAAAGAAAGCAGCTGGGCAATCTTGAGCACAAAAAACCGAAACAGCTCTGAAGTCAGTGTGATCAAAGCTAAGGTCAACCACATACAACACCTCATGTACCATAAGAAAGCTCTCTGTCCATCAAGTGAAGGAAGTATGTGTAAGTCGTAGTTCTGAGCTTCACACAGAAGGCAAGGCTAGGTGGTGGCACACACCTGTAATCCCAGCACTCTGGAGTTTGAGGCCAGCCTGAGCTATGTAGTGAGTTCAGGGTCAGCCGGAACTACATAGCAAGACCCTGTCTCAAAAAACCAAAACAAAACAAATGGAGGGCAGGGTCACAGGTAGAACCCTAACCCACCCTGTATCCTCCCAAGGAATGCTCTCCCCAGAAACTGCCTGCGCAGACCCCTCAAGCTGTGCCCTCTTGGTCCTCCCACACCCCTGATCTCCATAGATTGTCTACAACCTGCTGTCCCTGCGCTTCAACTCCCGGATCCGTGTGAAGACCTACACGGACGAGCTGACACCCCTCGAGTCCTCGGTCTCGGTGTTCAAGGCTGCCATCTGGTATGAGAGGGAGGTGAGTTAGTGGGCGGATGGGCCCTGCCTCTGAGCCCTGCTTAGCCCTGCTGCACTGCTCTACTAAGAACATCTCCTTTTGAGGTCTGGGACATGTTCGGAGTCTTCTTTGCTAACCACCCTGACCTGAGGAGGATCCTGACAGATTATGGCTTTGAGGGGCATCCCTTCCGGAAGGACTTCCCCCTGTCTGGCTATGTTGAGGTAGGAGCTGTGGAATGGGGGTAGTAGGCGCAGGAACCTGGGGGTCCTGGGCCCGGCAGGTGTGTGGTCTATGGATGGTGGTAGCATAGAGCTGGGCTTGGGATCCAAGTCCCAGCCTCACTTTGTAATCTGGGACAAGCTACTCCACTGGCCCGTGACTCAGTTTCCTCATCGGAGGCATAGTCACAGTAACAGCACTTGCAGGATGCATGTGTCAAGCCTGGTGCGCTGTAACCTCAGTCAACCAGAGGTTATGGTCTTTCTGTAATGGTCATTCTGATGAGAAGGGCAGCCTTCAGGACACAGTTGGCCCCCAAACCTGAAGGGAGAGGGATGTTTTGGCCCAGGAAGGTGTTTGGTAGGCAGTCTGATGGGGCTGGCAGCAGGGAGAGGTAGAGGCCATCTTGGACTCGCATGCACTAGCTGGCTCGAGTGTGACCTGATGAGTGATGGGTGTGGATGGAGACTTGCTGACAGAGCCTGGAAAGAGGGTGAGATGAGTCAAGGACATAGCTGTGCATAGTGGCACATGCCTGTAATCCCAGCACCCAGGAGGCTGAGACAGGAGGCTCACCACAAGTTCAAGCCCAGTCTGGGCTATGTAGTGAGTTAAGGCCAGCCTGGACTATACAGTGAGACCCTGTCTCAGGAAAATAAAGGTCAAGAACAGAGGGCCAGGGGCTGGGGGTTCCCCATGGTGCTTCTCAGTACCCACCTGCCTGTGTTCCTGCAGTTACGCTATGACGATGAGGTGAAGCGTGTGGTGGCAGAGCCAGTGGAGCTGGCCCAAGAGTTCCGCAAGTTTGACCTAAACAGCCCTTGGGAGGCTTTCCCTGCCTACCGTCAGCCCCCTGAGACTCCCAAGCTCCAAGCTGGAGACCAGAAGCCCGAAGCCAAGTAGCCCTCAGGAGGCATTCGGGTCCTGGAGAGTGCCCTTCCTGCCTGCCATGGAGACTGTAAATAAATTCCTGCCTGGACTTGTGCCTGCTGTGTGCTTAAAGGGCAGAGGAGACCCTGCCTTGGAAGCAGGGAGGCCGTGATGGGACTCTAGCCAGCTTCCAGAGTGCCCCGAAGGCCTGGGTACATCACTTTTCTGCTTCTTGAGACAGGGTCTTGCTGTGTAGTTCAGGTTGGCCTTGAGCCTGCAGTGATTCACGTACCACCACATCCGACTGGGGTGTTTCTGAGGGATTTTCTAAGTGCGCGCAGTGCACAAGGTTGGAGATGGGTGTGGCGTGGCCCCAGTGAGAGCTGAGGGCTATCGGCAGCTCCTGGAGAAAGCCTGCATCTCAGCAGTCTCTGGTGGCAGCTGACGGGTCTGGGAGCATGGGCGGAACCCCCCCATGAGGAGGGAGCACTGGGCTCTGTCCCCCTGGTACCTCACAGCTCACTCACCGTCCCACCGAAGGACTGGGCTCTGCAGCTGATGCTCGGTGGCTGAGGGTCTCCCTGGAGTGCACTGGGCTGGGTGTCATGCTGGCCTCGGTAGCTGATGTTTTAGGAGTGAAGACAGGAAGGCAGGATCACTGCCAGAGGTATTTCCTTGGCCAGGGAAGGCCAAGCCAAAGCTGGCTGCTACAAACGCCTTTTTCCATTAACTACGCATCCCACCCGTCTGGCAAATCAGAGTCCTCATTCCTAAGGCGTGGAAAAGCCCCTGGGAGGTGACAAGGCCACAGCCAGCCCCGCCCCGGAGCCTGACACGCAGAGTGGAGCCTGAGCAGTTGGTGGGAAGTTGGGAGTGTAGCTGTGGTTGGCAGATGAGGGGCCGCAGCTGCTAGAGCGAGTGAGACTCAGGATGCAGTGCAGCATGGCCAGGACCCTTTATCTGGTGGCTGCCATTTGTCTCCTCCCTGGGGTGACTCCGACCCAGCACCTTGCAGGTAACGGGGCCTCAGGGGCAGAGCGTTGAAGGGCAGAGAGCTGTAGGCTGGTGGGGACCAGACGGCTGGGTGTTGCAGTAGGTGATGGTGTGGACCGAAGGCCCAGAACCAAGCAACTCCACAGAGCCCTGGAGACGCCCTGGTGACCTGGCTCCAGACAGTTGGGCCCTGGGCTTGTGCCGGCTGATGTCCACAGCAGGGTCTTCTGGTCTGGGGACAGTCACTGCAAGGCGAGGCAGCACTGCACGGTGGGGGGACAGAAGACACTGCCCCATCCCATCCTCCTCACCTTACACACCATCTAATACTGAAGAGTCGTGGCAAACAGTATGCCCTTCCCAAAGAGGTCCTTGTCCTTGGTGGAGGGTCACTGGCATTGAGGTCACAGTGTCCCCAGATGACTGCAGGGAGGGAAGGTGGATGGGAATAGCCCTGGGACCCACTGGCTTGGGGCTTTTTACCAAGGCCATTGTGCACAGAGAGGAGCCCTGGGCATTTGGCAGGATGGTGATGGGGCTTGTTGTCATTCTCTGGAGTCCTAAGGCCCAGACCTGGGAGGGTGGGTGTCTGTGTGTCTGTGTGCACAGGGTGCAGGGCCTGAGCTGGCACTCCTGCCCTTTGCAGAAGATGAGCCAGAGGGGCCCTCCTGGCAGCTGGGAGCACTGGGCTGTTCAGGGTGGAGGGTGCAGGGCCTGAGTCCTCTCTGCTGTCCCAGGGCAGCCCATGGACAGCACCGGCATGGGAGGTGGCCTGAAGGAGCCAGAGGCACCGGAAGTGATGCTTGAGGTCATTCCCCAGCCCGGGACATGGGGGTGGGAGTGTCCAGTGGTCTCTAAGCTCAAGGTCGGGAAGCCAAATGTCTCCTCATGGGTCCACCAGGGTGGGGGCAGCCCAGCCTGGGTCCTATGCCTGCTTACACCCCACCGGCCCACTCTTGCTTCCTGCCCCCCTCCTGCTCCCTGCCCCCCTCCCTGGCCACAGTCACCCCTGAAATGGCTTCCCTTGCAGCTGCTCTGGGCTGGTCTGGAACTGGACGTCACGGGGCAGCTGGACATCCAGGACGAGGAGCTGGCGTCCACACGCCCAGGCCACCGCCTCAGGCTCCTCCTGCAGCAGCTCGTGCCCAGGGACTTAGAGGGCACTGAGCAGCGGCCGCAGCAGCTCCAGGGTGTCCGGGAGGGACCTCCCCTTAGCCCTTGGGACTTTGAGCAACTGCTCCTCACAGGCCTATCCTGCATCTACCGGCTCCATGCAGCCAGCGAGGCTGAGGAGATGGGTCGTTGGGCCCATGTCTTCACCCTCCTGGCACAGGAAGTGCTCTGGGACCTGTGCAAGGGCTTCTGTCCCCAGGGTCAGCCCCCTTCACTGGGGCCCTGGGCCTCCATCCTTGACCCCGCCCCTTGACCCCTCCCTTTCACCTGCCATCTCCTCTTCCTGGCACCTCCCCCTCGACCTGATCCAGACCCATGCTGGGCAGGGGGTCTCACCTGACACCTGGACCTTCCTACTCAGAGCTCCGGGCTGGACTTGCACCCTGGGTACCCCCACCCTGATGCTTACCCCACCTTGTTCTCTGGACCTGGAAAGCCGGTAAGTCCAGGCCCTGGGTCCAGGCAGCAGGCACACAGCCAAAGGCAGGCATGTAGGTAGAGTGTGCGAGCATGCATATGTGGGAGCCAGGTATCGGGACTGAGAAGTGTGTTTAAGCAATGGAAAGGGAAACTGCTCTGAGCAAGCTCAGGGCTGATTCTCCAACTCCCAGCCCCAGGCAATCTGGGAGAGGCCCTGTGGAATCCCAGCACTCAGTCCTGATTCCCATATTCCCTTCAAGCCTGACCAGGCTCTGCTCCCCACCACCATCCCCAGTTCCCCATCTGGGCCTGTGCACAGAGGACTTCTCAAGCATTTCTCTGTGGAGGGAAGGAAAGCAGGTGGAAGAACATTACATCTTTGGGGAGGGAGAAAAAAATGACTTTGGTTCCAGGTCAACAAGCCTCCCATGAACATCTCAGCAAGAACAAGGCTGGAAGGGGACCCACCCACTCAGACTAGCTGGGGGAGGCCGCTGACTGTAGTTCTTCCCATAAAAGACTCTGCTCTGGCCTCCTGGGGCATATGTGTCATTCTTCTGCAGAAGCTGTCTAAGGATGTCCTGTCATATCACCCTTGTCCTGGGAGGGCAGGAGGCTGGGCAACTGTGCATCAACCCTTCACCCCATTCCCACACCCTGCTGGAAGAAACATGCTGTTTCCTTCTATCCTAGCTTTACATTGGGAAGCTGTCCCTTGTCATAAACAGAAATCAGAAGGGCCCTAAGAATAAGGCTGTAAATCAGCAGGTGCGGTGGCACACATCTGTAATCCCAGCACTCAGGAAGACCGAGGCAGGAGGATCACAAGTTCAAGTCTAGCCCGACCAATTTATTTACCCAGACCCTGTCTCCAAATAAAAAATACAAGGCGGGGCGGGGGGTGGGAGCGCTGGGGATGTAGCTCAGCACGAAGGGCTGGGTTCAATCCCGAGTATACCAGAAAAACAAAATCAAGAGGGACCGACTGAACAAGGACACAGGGTTCGGCCCACCACAGGGTAGGCGACTATGCTTCACATTCCCACTCACACCCTGGCAACCTGACCCCGAACCCGACCCCGACCCGAGCTGCAGTGCTCAGCGCGCCCCGGGTAAGAGAAGCCGCACAGTGAGGACCGCGCAGGCGCACTTTATTGGTGGAGATAAGCGCGGGGTCCCCGCATGCACGCCCCGCACCCGGCCCGACCCTGGTCCCTGTCCCCTCTCAGGCGGCCTCAGAGCTCTGGGTCGCCGTCAGCGGTGAGGTCGGGGTACACCAGGAAGCCAGAGAAGGTGATGTACTTGCCGTGGTTGCTGTAGGCGCCGTAGCCATCGTGGTCGTGGCTGAGCAGCCACACGGCGTCACCGCGCCGCAGCGGCAGCATCACGCTTTGGCTCTGCATCTCGCGGCGCCGCGAGGCGCCGTCGTCGTAGATCATGGCCTGCACCTCATCGCGGTTCTTCATCAGCTTCACCGACAGCGTCTTGCGCGGCATCTTGCCCAGCGTGAAAGAGAAGAAGTAGGCGCCAGGCAGGCGGCAGCGGAACACGCCGGCCGCCGCGTCGAAGTCGCCGCCGATGTTGACGAGCTCGGTGTCAAAGGCGAGCGGCCGGTGTCGAGGCCCTGGGCTCGCGTCCGCGCCCACTAGACTGCGCGTGCGCGCCGCCGAGAAGGCAGAGCGCGGCTCCGAGGGCGCATGCGCGGGCGCGTCGGCATCGGCGTACACCAGGTAGCCGCTGAAGGTGGCGCCCGGCGAGCCCAGCGCGTACTGTGGGGCGCCGTGCAGGCGCAGCCACACCGTGTCGCCATAGTCGAGCTGCAGCATGGCGCTCTGGCTGGCGGCGCGCCTTGTGCTGGGCCGGCGCTGCTCGTCGAAGGCCAGCGCCTGCACCTCGTCGCGGTTGCGCACCAGCATCACCGACAGGCTCTTGTGAGGGGCCTTGCCGGCCGTGAAAGAAAAGAAGTAGGCGCCCGGCACGCGGCAGCGGAAGCGCCCTGTGGCCGCGTCGAAGTCGCCACCGATGTTCACCAGCACTTTGTCGAAGGTCACAGCCATCTCCGACGTGCCCTCCAGCGGCGTGGTGCGGGCCGCTGAGAAGGCCGAGCGCAGCCCCAAGGAGCCTGGCTCGGGGGCTGGGCCCAGGGCCCAGCAGGTAGCTGGACCCAGCAGGCCAAGCAGGAGAAGCAGCATGGCTCCTGGGGAGACAGGCGGGAGAGGGGAACATGGCGCCTGGAACTGATCGCAGACGGGGTGCTCTTCCTAGCCCTGCCCCGGACCCAAGGATCGCTGTCAGCTTTCCTGCAACCAGGGCTAGGTCAGCACCCCCCACACTTGTCAGCATCTCAGAGTCACACGGAGGGCCTATTAAAATAGACACGGCCTGTCAAGTGCGAGGTCCCGAATGCGATCCCCCGTACCAAGAAACAACTAAAACAGACAGGGCATGGTGGTGCACACCTGCAATCTCAGCAGTTTGGGAGGCTGAGACTAGAGTATCACTGCCTGTTTGAGGCTTGCCTGGGCTACATAGTGAGTTCAAGGTCAGCCTGAACTACATGGAGAGATCTTGTCTCAAAACAAAACAAATAAAAAACCCCCAAATAAATAGCACATAGCCGTGGTGATGCACATCTGCAAGTTGAAGGCAAGGCTGGGCAACTTACAGACTTAGTGAGGCCCTGTCTCAAAATAAAAAGGGCTAGGAATGCAGCTCAGAGCCACGGCTCTGGGTTCACTCCCCAATTATCATGAAAACACACACGCACAGCTGGGCCCATCCCAGAGTCTGGGCGGAGGCCTGGGAATGTGCACATCTGACAATCGGGATGGCTGCTGCATTTCAGAACTGAGGCCAGTGATTCTCCACCTCTCTTTCCTTCCTTTAAGCATGAACCTCCTCTCGGGTGGATGCTGCACACACATAGCACAGACAAGCAGAACTCAGGCGGTGGCCCAGGAGGCCTGCAGCCCTGTGTGCCCAGCCCACCTGTCTGCCCCTCGGCACTCTTGGCTCTGGTAGCACAGGGGTGACCAGAGCATGCTAAGTGTCCCTCAGCCTGTGGTTTGCTGCATTTTCCTGTAGTCCCCTCTGGTCCGTGGCCTTCCCATCAAGGCAGGCACTAGCTCTTGGGACCAGTCTCCACCATGACAGTGACTGTTTCAGATCCTCTGCGTAGGAAAGGAAATGGCCTTTCCCTGACCCCTCCTGACCCTCACAAAGGGTCTCTGACCCAGGCATCCTTCCTGCCCAGAGGAGGCCAGAACAGTTGGGATTTGAGGCAGCTCCCCCACCGTGAAATCAGAGGGAAAGGGAGGTGACGGTCCTGTGGGGCAGAAGAGACCCAGGGGGTGCTGGACAGGAAAGGGAGCAAAGTTCTGGCAGGGCCTTGGTAAAGCTGTGAAGCCACCCCCTGACTTTGTTCCTCAGAGGTGGAACTGAATGCACAGATACCTAGATCTGAGCTCACATCCTGCTCCCCAGGCTCAGGCTGTGAGCCCTCAGGGAGCTTCTGAATCTCTCTGGGCTCCGTGTAACGAGCAGGGACCTGCTTCACCAGCTCGCTGAGAGGACTTGGAGATGGCAGATGAGGGCTTGCAAACACCAGCACTATCCAGGTGGCCCTGGGAGAGGCCGCAATTGAGTCCTTGACATCAGGGTGAGGGACTCGGGAACCCCTGCCCCTGAGAGGAGGGTGGCAGGGTGCACGGGATCCCATTGCTCGTCCTAGGAGGGCAGAACCCTAAAGGCAGTAACGCTAAGCAGGAGACAGAGCTGGACAAGAGCTTCTCTGGGAAACGCCCTGTTGTGTGTGTGGCTCTGTGTTGCCTGGAGCCGCCAGGGGCCTGCTGAGCGGAGTTGCCAGGTACAGGCCAGCAGATGTGGCCTTCCCCAGGCCAGGTGTTCATCTGAGGGCTGTGAGAGCTGGAATGTAGCCAGGATGCTGGAGCAGCACCTGGCAAACTTCTCACCTTAGGGACCCAAGCCACCAGCCCCTAGGGATGCGGTACTCTAACTCTGAAAAAGCACCCTATGGGTGACGATGTTCTTCCTTGGTGAGGGCTGAGAGAAGGGCTGGTCTCTAGTGGTGCAGGTTTCACCTCAAAAGTATCCGGTACATTCCCTTCCACAAAACTCCTTTCAGCTGGGTGTGAGGCAGGAGAATCGCCTCAAGTTTAAGCTCAGCCTGGACTACATGGAAGTTCAAGGCCAACCTGAACACCAAGACCCCGTCTCAGGTGGGGATTTAGCTCAGTGGCACCGCCCCTGGCTCAAATGCCCAAGGTCATGAGTTCAATCTCTGGTACCCCCTACCCAAAAAAAGACCTCGTCTCAAAAACCAAACCAAACCAAACCAAAGAACCAAAGCTCTTTTGGACACATCCGGTCTTGGCAACCTTGGGGGGTGACCACTCTCTTGATTTGTAGATGAGAACGCTGAGGTCTAACAAGAGGGGCACATTCCAGGCCAAGGTCATCCCCAGAGGACTAAGGCAGGGCTTGCAAAGAGGTTTGCTGACTCCAAATTCGGGCTGCCTTCCTTCCCACTACTCTTGTCTTTTAGACAGGGGTTATCTCCAGATAACCTGTCCCCTGCCTCAGTTTCTCTTTTCTGCAAACACAGGAGAAGAGGCGAGGGGACTGCATAGTAGGAGCAACCGTGAAGGAGAAAACAAGCAAGTGAAGCAAACAAAAGCAAACCAAAAATCCTCTCCAGCATTCCGTCTCAGGGCGCAGGGCTGCTTTCTTTCCTAGCTGCTCCCTTCCAAGAGCCCCTGCCTGCCTGACCCCAGCCACCTCCCGCCGGTGCCACACGATGATCCCACGCTGCGGTTCCCAGCCTCCGGGGCCCTGGGTCCCCTTCTCGGCTGGGCCCCCTCCCCAGCAGATGGGGTTCAGGAGGGAGGAAATGGCAGTTCCCGGCCCTGTGCAGGTGAGGAGGCTCCACACACACGGGCATCTTCAAAGAGCAAAACTGGGACAGGCGTCGGGCAGCCCCGGAGCCCGGGCACCAGGCGCGGATGTCCGGGAGCGGGCGTCTCCGAGCCCCCCGTCCCCACCCCAGCTCAACCCCCATCAGCCCCGAAATTCACCCTTTTCTCGTGAAAAGTTCCCCCTCCCCGGCAAGGGCGCCCGAAACCTTCCACCCTCCGGAGCGCAAGCCCTTGAGCCTCCTCTACGCCAAAGCGCCCTGATGCCCCTTTCAAGAGATGGAGCCAGGCCGGCGCCCCCACCCCCGCGCCACGAGGCGGGGACCCAGGCTCCGGCTGCCAGTCGCGCTCACCTGGCCGCGGCGCTGGGCTCGGTTCGGTCCGCGCTGCGATCCGCCTCGGGCTCGGGCTGCGCGCGGGGCGGGCGCTGGGGCTGCGGACTGACCACGCTGCAGCTGGGCGCCGGGACCCCGGGACGGCGAGCGGACGGCCGGGGGAGGGGAGCACGGCCACGCGGGAGGAGCGGGCGGCGGGGGGAGGGGCAGGCGGCGCACGGAGCCTGCGCCGAGCGCGGGACCCTCCCCAGCCAGACCTCGGCGCCGCGACCTCTGGGTCTGCGCAGCAGGCGGCACTGACCATGTTAGCAGATGGGGAAACTGAGGCCCGAGGCAGCGCCCAAACGGGCACTGTACAGATCAGCTTCCTCGGCGGTTTGGGGAGGGGAGGACGGGAGCAGCACACAGGCTGGGCAGTCTCCGGGCGCAGAGACGCGGACGGGCAGGGTAGACGAGGACAGACGTCCAGCCTGAGCGGCCTCGGGGCCAGGGGCTGAAGGAAGACAAGCGGGTCAGCGTCGCCGCCCGCCGGGGAGGAAGGCTTAAAGCGCCCTGGTTTCTGTCCTCGCCTCCAGCTGTGAAAATGCCCACAGCGCCAGGCGCAGGAGGAAGACAAAGGCTTCGACATCAGCAGGTCGGAGCGTCCCTCCCGGAGGGATGACACGGAGGGGGTCCCTGGGCAGGACCGAAATCTCTGCTGCACAGGGCCCCGCTGGGGAGGGTTGGGAAGGGCAGAGGGGGACACGGACACCCTGCCCCGCGGGGCCCCTGCCCTTGGCTGTGGGCCTGGGCTGTGGAGGTGGCAGCTTGGGGACTTGCGCTGCGGTCCTGACTCCAGGACGGTCCCCCTGCTGGGGCTCTGCCCTCTGGAGCATCCCTTCTGGAACTCTGCAGACATCCCTGGGCCCAGTCCTCTGTGCAGAGAGTGCCTGGCGGTCCTAAGAGGGTGGTGAAGCTTCCAGGCCACAGCAGTGAATGGGGGGAATGGGGGAAAGGCGGCAAACTTGTGCAGTGAAGGAAGTGTTTCCAGCTGGCTGGGGGAGCGGGGGGGGGGGGG